ACGATTCGAGGGTCATACGCAAGTCCCAACTCGTGACAGGTTGCCTGGGACATCGAAATAATCTGAGAACCACTGTCGACGATGCATTCCACTTGTTGCTGGTTGTCAATCACTGGGAGGATCGAGCGGATGGCCAGGGACTCGGCAGCCACAACTAGATTGTCTGGCAACCTTCCAGTCTGATCGTAGTAGACGGCGAATTTATCTGGGACCACCCAAGCGTCTGGGGGCAACGTCTGGCTGTAGGCGACTGGAAAATGCTCCGCAGCCAAAGCAAGGCGTGCATCTTCGTTTCGTTGCTGCTGAAGCACTTTTTCGACCAAATCTGAGTCGTCCTGAGCATATGGAAGGTCGTAGGGCGTGCTATCAGTGACAGGATGCAGGAATTGAGGCACTGCCTCGCCAGTCTTGGCAGGGGGACGACGGAAACTAGTGGCTTCGCGGAATTGAGCACGGACTTCTGGGGCAATCGACAGGGTCTGGCGAAGCGTCTGGGTGACAGGGATGTCCAAAATGGCGTCGAAAACAGCTGCAGCATCTTTGGGGTTGTAGATCGGAGCCGAAGAGCGTGGGGGTTGTGATTTCTGCGCTGGAATCCCAACATTTCGTTCTTTGGGCGGTGCGTAAGCGCCATCACGAGCTGCGGCGTACGGATGGATTGGGGGTTGAGGCGGGGCAACTGGAGCAGCAGGGGCGGTCGCAGGAGGGACGGTTTCGATTGGAACAGGTGGAACGACTGGATTTCGCGCTACCGCCGGTGGAATAGTGCGTTCAGGGACTTCTGGTTGATTAGCAACTTCCATAGCGCGTTTAGCTTGGGCCCGTGTGCGTAGTTGATTAATTTCAGCCGTCAGAACTGCCATTCGTTCTTCGTCTGTGAGTTTGAACGTTTGAACGAGCCCAGGCGCCGCAGAAGACAGCAAATTCTGGTGAGAAACTTCCAAAATCATCTGCGGAGCTGCTGCCTGACCTGGGTTCGCTTCATGCCACTTCTGAATGCGCTCTCGAAGATCCTTTCCTTGGACAATATTTGGCACATATGCGCCTGAGGGGAGGACGACTTTCCCATCCACATTGCGGCGGCATTTTCCGTCTCGAATATCCGTCGAAACGTGGGGACATTGGCTGATAAAATGCTCGAGATCACTGCAATAACTGCAGCCATCAGGACGGCAACGGCGGGGCAGGGCGTTGGCGGACTGTGATTGTGCTGGGGCACCAGGATTGGCGTGTTGAGCAGCGATTATTCGAACTAGATCTGAGACGGATGAAACTAGTGCAGTAATTCCAGGGTCTGATTTGATTGTGAGCTCGGTTCCGGGCTGAGACGTGGGCATTCCAGGAAGTAAGGTCGATGATCCTGAAAGGACGAATTTAGCAGCGTCGTACAGATCTGACAAATCATATGGATCCTCAGGGTGAACGTCTGGCTTCTTGATCTGAAGTCTCTGGCGAACTGAGACGGACAACGAGGCTGGATTCATAGCTCGAAGGAAAAATCGGCTCTGTTCTGCCACAGAGAGTCGTTGTTTGCTAATCAGGAATGTTGTGATGTGTAGGAATCGTCGATAAAATTGTGTGAGGTCGTCCTTTGTGTGGATTCCCATGCGAGATGTCTGCCCAACGAGCATGTCCAAATCGTCGAGGCTGAAACGACGATCTGTGTCGTTCCCTGCGTAGAGGCCGAGGGCGTCCAATTTGAAGTCGTGGTACGATTTGTTGGCGTCTGAGAATGACGGTAGACCTTCCCAAATCTCCTGATCTTCGACGGAAAGGAATCTGACCGCATGCCCCTTCATTTGGGCAGCGTCAGTGACGGCAGATCGAGCTAGAAGGAACTCCAGATCGAGGAAATAACGGCGCAACTCGTGGGGCTTGGACGAATCAAAGACTGGGGCGTTTCGATCGCCTCTGGCTGGCATGGGAGTGGGAGTAGCCATATTTTGAGAAGGAATATTCGTGTTGTGAAGGGGGGATGGTGAACGCGTTGTTGGAGGCGAATCAAAGAGCCAGGATAGCGTTGGAGAGCTCGGGGAATGCGGTGAGAGGTTGTTGTGTTGTGCAAGGGCGCTGGGGACAATGTCAAAGAGGTGTTCGTCGTCGAAAGAGAGAGTTGTGGGGTCGTTGAGAGCAACAGCTAGCTCTTCACGGAGCGTGCGACGTAGCTCAGAATGATTGTTGTGTCGCAGACTGCGAGAGGCACCAGAATCTATGTTGAAATCCCCTCGCGGTGGGCTCCAAAATGACGTGCCTGCGGACGGAATAGGCGCGAGCTAACACAAAATGGGGGTCAGCTACGACCTAAAACAGTGCAGGAATAAGTGTGATGTGCGAGGAGGTCCACAAGATTCAGTGCCGTGGCAGGCAGTAAGAAATGATGATTTTAGACGTGGGACGAAGTCGAGGGCGGCGTGGGACGGATGCGACGAAGCAGAGGGTCGAAATACCCAAGTAGAAACGAGCTGAAGACGAGAACTGAACTCAAGACTATGAGGAGAATAAATCTATTTTTCTTTTGTCCAACTACAAGCTTTTGTATGTGAGACAATGAAATAATCATCAGAGTGGGTGAAATATCGACAGGATGGAGCAAGGGACGGTGAACAGAGGAACCAGGGAAGTGAGAGGGGAAAAACAGGTACAAGTGGATGGTGAAGTAAGAAAGGCAGGGGTGTAGAGATAAATGTGCAGACAGCAGTCCAGGGATGTGAATATCAAAAATATATGCAGGGCTGGACGAACCAGTGAATAGCCAGGGCTGAGGAATATTGAGGAGACCCTCAGTTGTGTGCGAAGCGTGCGCCCACTGATTGCTGATTGACATGCACTGCCACACGTCAGGACTTGTCGGATAGATAGGCCAGTCCGTCACCGGTGTTCAACGAGTCACTGTTGACACCCTATCACAAACCACCCCCCCATCGCCGAGAGAAGAGACCCGTAGCCAAGATGATCAGAGGAGCAGAGGAGTGGGAAGTCGAAGAGATCGTGAAAGAGCGAAACGTCGGCCGAGGAAAACAGTACTTGGTCAAATGGAAGGGATGGCCGTATAGCGAAAATACGTGGGAACCGTCACGTCACCTTATTCATGTGAAGAGAGTCCTGAAGGCTTGGCAGAGGAAACAATCCGACCCAGACACACGCATTTGCCTCCTGCCAACGCTCAAAGCCGGACACTGGGATTATCTTATCCATTGCTACTAACCCAAAGACGAGTGCCTTCCATATCCCCAACAACAACTATTCAACCCCTATGAAAACATCTTCATGCCCATTGGCCCAGTCAATGAGGACATCAACCCTAGAGAGGGGGTAATATCATAATTTGACCCTTTTTCATCTTATTATTGACGATCTTATCTTATCACGGATCACGGCATCTGACGGTCCAGGCTAGGGGTCTAGGTATTATCTTTATTGATTCAAGGCTGCACGACGTATGCTCTGGAAGGTTCTACTACAACCCATGACTAGTGCTCCATGCAGTACATAGCCTTATGACTCATTAGTTGTAGATATGACTCAGACTGGATTTGGGTATAAATACTGTAGCTACCTGGTTGTATTCTCCAGTCTTCAAATTGACTTCTCTTTTTGACATTATTTCTTGTTGATTGTCACAAGGAGCCCAGTGGCCAGGCCAGTGCTGGGCTGGCCAGTGGAGACATTGGAGGCAAGGACCAATGCCTGACTGGGAAGAGGGGTGGTGCGGATGAGCGCAAGGGCATCTGGTATGAGCCTGTACAGCAGTAGACCACATCCGTGGGAAGAAGGCCAAAGTAGAGGGGGAGGAGTGCATATGGCGGTAGCACTCCCTGGTGCAAGGAATTGGGCTTGTCCAGACCACTTGCGGGAATTTGAAGGAGATGGCCGGGAGAAGGAGGAAGAGGGCAGACGTTGGCATGGATGGAGGTGGGGATCAAAGGAGGAGGAGGAGGCTGGGTGATCAATAGGTGAGTAGGCACGGGTCGGCAGAGAGGGCGCAGTGGGTCATGTGCATGGTCACGTGCCCAAGGAGCATGGCGTACCCTGACAAAAATCTTCAATTTTTGACTCAAATTGACAGACGTCTGACCCAGGTTGAGTGCCCATAGAGCAAAAATGAATACAATCCACCCTGTGTATTGTGAAATTAACCTCACATGAAGGCTGTCCATTTGTTCCGCTGGTCTACTGCCTGCAGATGACAATTGTCACTGGTTGATCCAATGGAACCAAAAGCAGTGGGACTCATAGCCAAGCACACATGCCTTAGACAAGCTCCAGTGGGACCTGGGTTGGTCCCACTCCTACAGGTTTGGTCATTTCTCCTGTCATTGAGTCTGTTGAAAAGGCCAGTGATGAGATTGAGTGGTTCAATCAACAGTGTAAGAGGCAGAGCATATATGCAGACACTGATAAATTTACAATGTTCCTTCTGTAAGGTAGACTGCATGGACAATCTACCCATGTCATGTGGTGTTACATAGTGTGACTTGGGTGGGGTGGGGATGGTGGGATTGGGTGATTTGGCCGGTATTTAGCTAATAGCCTTCACAAACATGGTTTTCTTGCAAATCCGCCTGCACTAGGTTTTTCAATGAACCATTAGCTACACTTCTGTGCAACTAGATTTCTAAATTAAGATCACATTTTGCGGCCATTAAGAATTTTGTGGAAATAACACTTTGTCATGTGATGTGAGTGGATTGTCCATGCGGCCTACCTTAGTTAGGCCCTGTTCGGGAATCACAGGTAGTTCCTGATGAAAATCTAGCTAGCTGTACAGGATCAGCAAAACCGTTGATAGCTGTAGTGTGGCTATGTGATTTACAGGTACGGTTTCAGGCTGTTGTTCCCCGGCGTTATCAACTGTGATGAGATGTGATTGAGATTGCTTGTAAGGGCAACCTCGAGAAGAGGGGGTTCCCCTGACATTGCTATATACACGTTATCAGACATATTGCATGAGCATAATCTACAAATTCCTCTTCTCTCCCCCTCCCTGCTGCATCCTCAGGATGGTCAGCCACCGTCTGGAACCCCCTTCAAAACAAAAGAAAGCACTCCATGTTGAACACCGTGACCGCATTCAGCGTGTATCAGCATTTGTTGTTTGTCTTGGAGCAGCTGCAACAGTGATTGCAGCAGCATCATCGGAGAAGGAGGCAATGCATACATCACCTCAAACTGGGCAGAAATGGGTTGATGAACTGCTAGTAGGTATGTCACAACTTGATCTCTGCTGGACTGGATACACTGGGACTGATCATACTGTGATGTGTTTGACTTGCAGGTCACAGGGACCGCTTCAAACGTGCCATGGGAATGTCCAAAGGCGTTTTCAAGCGTTTGCTGTTGGCACTGACAACTCATTGCGGTCTACGAGCAACAAAGCATGTATCACGTGAGGAGCAATTGGCAATCTTTCTACGCATTGCGGTGACTGGTATGGGTAATCGAGAGCATCAAGAGCGGTTTCCGCGCAGTGGAGAAACAATTTCAAAGTGAGAGGCTTCAAATATCACAGCACAATATCCTCTGATGCTTTCAGATCCTTCCATCGCATCCTCGACATGCTTGTCAGCCGGGACTTCTATGGACGATATGTGAAGCTTCCCAGTGCAGGAATAATCCCACCAGAGATCAAGAACAGCCCGGAATTCTACCCTTTCTTTATAAAATGCCTCGGAGCTGTAGACGGCACACTCCTGCATGGTTTTGTGGCAGCTGCAGACATGGCTCGCTTCCAAAGCCGCAAAGGGCTCATTTCTCAGAACACTTTTGCAGCCTGTCGGTTCAATCAGATCTTCTGCTATCTGCTTACAGGCTGGGAGGGAAGTGCAGCAGACAGTCATGTCTTTGCTGATGCACAACGCAAAGGCTTTGCAATACCACCGGGTTACTACTATCTTGGTGATGCTGGCTTCCCAGTTTGTGATGCACTTCTGGTACCATACCGTGGTGTTTGCTACCATCTGAATGAGTGGCGAAGGGCCTCAAATCTCAAGTCAGTCCTTTGGACACCATCCGTGTTCCGCAGTGCTCATTTACACACAATACAGTCCCAAGAATGCCAAGGAACTGTTCAATCTTTGTCACGCCTGCCTGCGCAATGTGATTGAACGCATCTTTGGAGTGATCAAGCGATGGTTCCGTCTTATGAACGTGGCTCCAGAGTATAGCATGGAAACACAAGCAAAGATCCCATGTGCACTTGCTGCTCTCCACAACTTCATCTGATTACATGATCCTGATGATTATGCTGACAACGGGCCTGGATCTAGCGGACCTCGCAATGAGTTGTTCACGCTGTCTGAAGTGGATGGTGATGAACGCCGTGATTTCCCTGAAGAGGAACTTGGCTGATTTGTGGACACCCAAGAACGCAACAGAGCAGCGGCCTTCCAAGATAGCATTGCAGAAGCAATGTGGAGTCAATATATTGCCAGTGGCAGTAGCAATAGTGAATAAAAATTACTAGGATTAAAATGAATCAAGTACTATGGTGAATGTATCAGAACATTGGTAATCAGTTGGAAGCAATCTGGGCAATAATGAATGGCTTTAGAACACGGAGATTTGTTGAAAGACCCAATATCATATCAGCAAAGCTTGTATTTGAGCAAATGAGCTGCAGCACTTTAACGTGCTCCGCCTCTGTCAAGTCAAGATTATCCAGGACAGGTATGGCCTTTGTTCGACGCTGGGGGGAGGTAGGGCCAACCTGCTGAACAAGAGCCTGCGCAACTTCCGAGATGCCATCTGAGATTGACAGCATAGCACTGCTAGTACTCGTCTTACGAACGTGTTGGTGACCACCACTGCGATCGCGGTGATGACTACCTTGATGTTTCTTCAATGACGGGGAGGGCTCGGGAGAGTCCGACATGGCACAGAAGCGTTTCTTGGATTTCACCTGACGGTAGATGGATCAGTGCGTGCATAAACAAGTGGAGAGGAGCACGAGAGTCGAGACATTACCTCAGACTTAGTGTCAGTAGGCTTGACTTCGTCCTCTGTCAAGTCCAGTGTGCTCGTGCTGAGTGACGCCCGAGGGGTTGCAGGAACCTGCCATGCTAAACCCTGGTCCCCATCGTCGGCCATGATGGGCTCCTTGTCGATTTCGAAGACCTCTGTTGGTGCTGGTGGAGGTGTCTGGCCCGGGACAAAAGAGTGCTCTCCTGTTGCTGTTGCACCATCCACCAATACAGCCATCTCGTCGTAGTGGAGATATGGTGTCGTTCTCCACTTGTGCATAGCAGGGGGGGGCGGACTTGGACATGATCAGAAAGCAAGACACGCCAGAAAGGGTACATTGCCCACACATACCTTTTTGTACTCCTCCCACACGGCGTCCTCAACCTCTATTAAGCCCAAGGTGCCATTCCATCCCCAGCCCGACTTGGACCGAAGGGTCTTGACTGCTATATAGTCCGCCTTCTCCTGGAGACCATATATGTGAGGTTGCGCAGGTAACCTGGTGGTGGTACATACCGAGGTCCACTTTGTATGGCACATCTTCACATCTTTTGGCACTCCACCGGATACCTGCTCCGTACCTCTGAGAGCAATCTCACACTCCGTGTACACATCCTCCTTCCACCCTGCATTGTCCGTTGCATTCCCAGCAAGCCTTTGTGCATTCAGCGTTGCGAGCAGAATGTTCACCGTGAACACATTCCATTTAGCACGCTTCTTTCCACCAGTGGTAGACTCGGATTTGACAGGTTTGACAGGCGTCGCCAGCGATGTCGTTGGTGGAGCCTGATTCTCCTTGGCTGCGCAAGGTGCCATGGCGCACGGGGACGGATGGAAGGAAGAGAGGAGAGCGAGCTATAGTGCGCTAGTGATGGGCGTGACATGGGTCTGATCCCCCTTGTCAATCAAATATCATCTGTCAAGATGGATGTCGTGATACACATCTATGACTCCATCACGTGTCATCTAGAGTCACATTGACTCTTCCCAAATAGACACAAACAGCCCCCTGTATCATATATAAGGAGGGCTCTATTACCCTTTAATATAAGTCTCTTGACTACTCCTGCATAGTGCCCACACTAAGCTCTCACTCACACAGGTGAGCTGCTAGACGCTCTCCCCAGTGCTCAACAGGTTATGGGCCCCGAGAGCTATGTCTGTGCCTCAGTGGCCGCGACATTCATTGTATGCGCCGTCACTGGCTGCAACGATGAGCAGCGTCTTTAGCCTATCTGTATTCACTTCAGCTGCTGCATAGCGCTGGTGAAACCATGCCGGATCGCGATTACATTGCTTGATCCAGATGCATCGATCTCTAAAGGAGATTATGATCTATGAGGATCTGATCATCTTTATCTTTGATTTTATCTATCAGATTAGATTGATGCTGATCACTCACACAGATCTAACATGTCGTCCAACTCCAACAACATCTTCAATGCTGTCTCTATCTTTGATGGAAAGCACTGGCTTGTCTGGTCCGGAACTATGGAGTCCTATCTGGAGCATCAGGGGATCTCATATGTGCTGACTGAGACCGCGCCAACCGAAGTCAAGGCTACGGATGGCTCTGTGACCAACGCATCGGAGATCAAGCAATGGAAGCATGATGATCTCAGAGCGAAGGGCAGCATTAAGTTGCGCCTGACTGAGGGAGTCATTGCCAACATTCCAACCGCCAACATAGTGTCAGCTGCCAAGATCTGGGAGCACCTGAAGACCCAATATGGTGGTGCTCAGTGCGCCGACCTGTATGCGTACTTCCAAGCCGCGTTGAACTCGAAGTACAACGTGGGGTTGCACCCGGATCCACAGCTGCTGGTGATCACTACGGCGTTCACTCGCCTGCAGAATGAGTCTTTGAGCATCCCTGAGTTCCTCAGGGCGATGATCATTCTCAACATAGCTCGGATTCCCTCTGTCACTGAGACTGTTCTGCAGACTTATGACAAGGACAAGATCAAAGTCTTGGTGGTTTGTGACGCTCTCTTGACGCATTTTGCTCAGAAGCAGTCTCAAAGCCAGAATCATGTGGCCAAGTTCAATACCAAGCGCAAGCGCAATGACCCTTCATTCACCAATCAGCAACAGGGCTCTGGCTCTGCACCTGATAAAGGTGATAAGGCTGATGGAAAGAAGAAGAACCGACGAGGCAAGCACAGTGGGAAGAACAAGGACAACAAGGGCAAGGGCAAGGCCAATCATGGTCATGTCCATGGTGTCTCCGAGATCACTGGCTCTCTCACTATTGGTTCAATCGCCTTGCTCACTCCGTCTATTCCTGCGCCAATGATCTCGCATGTCATGCACATCTCTCGTGATGGACCCAAAATCCACGCGGTTCAAGAGAAGTCTCCTGTTAACAACAATGGGATTATTGACGCCGAGTTCCAGAAGCCTACTCGTAAGGTCTTCGAGCTGGCCAAGAAGATGGACGTAACGGTGACTGCAGAACGCTTCCGGACTCTTGACAAGATTGTCAATGAGAAAGGAATGCTCCGCAAGAACGCAATTATGCGTTCTCCATCTCCGGTTGCTTCCGGCTCGAATCACACTCTGGATGGTGGTCCTCCTGCGAAACGCAGTTGTATTGAGGAGATCCCCGATGTCGAGATGGCCACCGGCCAACAGAACAATCTTGATCTTCTGTTTGGAGATAGCGAGTTCGCCCTGGCTGAACCCGTCAATTGGGATGAGGTCGTCGACTTCAACACCCTTCTGGAGGAGATGGACGCTCCTTCCGCTGAAAGGCAAGTACCCTGCCTTCTTGGGCATATGCACAATTCTGATTGTTGCTCACAGCCAGAGCGCATAATCACCGCCGCCCCGGGTTCTGTACTCAATTTGTTGATGATTTGATCACATGTTTTTTGTATGAAATTTATTCTGTGTGCACTCCGATTTTGCTGCCTGCTCTAAGTGTAAGGGGAAACATCATCATCATGAATTAGGGCCTCTATGGCTTCTTGATTCTGGTACATCTCTCCATGTGACATCAGAGATTAGTGATCTGGTCAGATATGAGAAACTCTCAGATCCTATTGTTGCTCAGACCGCTGATAAGAACACACGTGTTGCCCTTATTGGTCGAGGAACAGCCTTCATCGATCATTACGTCACAAGGCATGGAGAAAAGACTATGGTGACTTCTCAGATATATCCAGTGTACCTAGTGCCAGGATTACATGGTCGTCTCATGTCTTTGGGCTCCTTACTCAAAGGAGGATCTCGCGTTCGTGGAGACGAATCGCGGATCAGCTTACATCGAGGGAAGTCCCCACTCTTGATCATGGAGTTTAGAACTCTAGGGAAGGACATTGCCTTGTACTTCCTGATGTCGAAGCCTAGCACGGCTGAGACAGTGCAATCCATGTCCACGGTCTACAAGGTGGATTATGAGATCATGCACCGGCGATTTGCACATCCGTCGAAAGACGTTTTACGTCAGGCAAAAAAGAATACCAAGGGCTTTCCAGAAGACCTAGTATTTCCCGAGGAAACCCGACCGTGTAAAGGATGTGCGCAAGGGAAAATGCACCAACGTGCCTTCCCGCCTTCCGAAAAACGAGCGGAGAATCCGTTTGATTTGATCCACTCGGATCTCAAACAATTTCCCACGGTGTCTTATCACAAGTACCGTTACTTCATGAGCTTCTTCGACGAAGCACTCTCCTATGGCTGGACAGTATGCCTTGTGCAGAAATCCGACGCCAAGCAGGCTATGCGCAATTTCATTGCGATGGTAAAAAACCAGTTCAATGTCACCATCAAAAAGTGGCATATTGACAATGGGGGAGAATTCATGGGGATGGGAATGGAAGAATTTCTTGCAGAACAAGGAATTCTAGTGGAGAAGGGTGCTCCATATGCTCACCAGCAGAATGGGCATGCCGAGCGCTTCAATCGTACGATCATGGATAAGGCAGAAGCCATGCGCTTTACTGCCTGTCTTCCTAATTCTTATTGGGAATTCGCGATAAAACATGCGACACGGATCTACAACATGACACCTATCAGGCGTCTAAAATGGAAAACTCCATTTGAAGCCCTTCACAAGGAAAAACCGGATGTTTCTGAACTCCGAGTCTTTGGTAGTGCTGCATACGTCTTTATCCCTGATGAGAAGCGCGCCAATAAGTTATCGCCCAAATCGGAGCTGATGACCTACTTGGGCATTCCTGATGGTGTGAAAGGATTTTTATTCATGCGCACAAACAATTCCATGTTTGTCGCCACCAAGGCATTGTTTGATGAGGAGTTGTTCCCTCGCTGTCCTGACAGCAATCGACCACCCCACGTTCCTGTTGGAGAGGAATTTCCAGAACGTGATGACCCAGTGAATCCACAAGATCCACCACAGGTAGACGGAGAAGATTGGCTATATGGAGATAATCCTTTTCCATTCCCCATGCCATCTGATCTGGCTCCACCACCTCCCGTACGAGGAAATGATGATGGTGACGACGGTCATAATCGTCAGGACCCACCGCCAGAGCGTCG